AATTCAAGCTTAATTCTAAAATACAAATACGTTTTTGTGTCTTTGGATATTATTTTTAATCATAGGGCATGCAAACCTGTGTTTTGAACTTTAGGCCTGAGGTACAGATCTATGTACATTCTCATTTCAGTTAGTTCCACATAAGTAATGAATATGAAGGTGGTTTTGTGCTTTATAGGTATGTCTATCAAATAAGAGAAGAACTTAGGTACATAGATACTTTAATACCTGTCTTGTATGCTAAGAGAGAGACTTGAACAAGTACTATAGAAGCACAGACTCACAAAAATATAGCACATCCATTAAATGATGGCAACTTAAGATTTTCTGTTTTTCTCAAAACCTGGGATATTTTACCTCCCATCTTGGATTTGTTTGCCTAAACACTGGCTAATCTATGAGCATAGTTAATTTCATCTTCATTCAAGGATTTTTCTCAGTAAAACCCTCAATGAAAGGAAGCCACAATAATATTATAAATTATGAAATTCTTATAAGTATAACTTATTCAATAATAGTGCTTATAATATATTTAAAAATATTATGTCATCTAAGTCAGTCTAGAAAGACTACATGTATCTTCTCCCTAGATCTTGTTTTGCCCACATTTGATCTGGTGCTTAGTTTTAGCTTTCCTACAGAAACTGCTTTAGTTGGGTCATATTACGGTCTCCTTTCAAGAGTCACTGATTGAGCTTGTTTCATGTATTAAGCAAAACCATGACTTGTCTCTCTCATTTTTCAATATGCCCAGTGGTTCATTAATGTTGACAAAATGAAGTTCAAATATATTAATATTCAAGAAACATCTCTTTTTCCCCCTTTGGATTTTTGAAACAGTGTCTCCTCCTGCTTCAGGTGTGCCACCATTCCCTTTTATAAGAAACATCTTAATGTGGTCTAACCCTATTTTTCCAGATTTACAATCCACTGTATTCTTTCATGCATTCTGCCTGGCATTTCCAGAATACCCCAAATAAACCAGAGGCATTCTGCCCTTGGAGTTCTCATATTCCTTCACCCATAAACCCCTCTGTGTCTTCTTTATGAAAACCTCAATTTTCCATGAAAGCTGATTAGCAAACCAAATAAACATGCATTTTTACTTTTCACTAAAATCTTAAACGGTTTTCAATTTTATCTATCATCAAGAAAAGTTTTTAATGAATATGAGACATGATTATTTTAGAAAATTATGTTCAAAACAGTTTCAAAATTTGTTAAGAAAAATCCCTAAGTGACAATGACTTGTTAACTTTGACCAGGCACTTAGCAGTATTGGCAAAGAAATCCAACCTCAGAAACATCTACTTAATTTCTCTTTTTCTTTTTTAATCTGTGGAGGCTTTCCTGTCCAGGCAAGATTTTATAGTGAAGTAATGTACACATCCATGAGTAATGGATTAACTAAATATATTGCAGTCAACTCATGAAATGAAATAATACAGATAAACTAAAAAGAAGATATAACTAACGAGTCATGAGATGATTCATAAATTGTAATTTGTTTAGTCTAAATAGAATGTAAAATAGGAATCATAAGATACTATTGTAAATATTCAGAGTATAAAGTTGAAAGTTCATCTACATAATTCACTTCACTTGTAAAACTGACCCTGGAGCACCACCGTATGCTGTAGCAGTCACACCAACTCATCGCAGTTCCTGACAGGAAAAACAAGGTGATCCTGAATTCTGAAACTTATCAAGAACCCTTTAGATGGAAGCTATCCAACTTGTTATTAATGGTGGGATGAAGACAGAATGCATTTGGTTATTAAATTCCCTTTGGAAAATGAACAAAATACAGGTTAGTGGTTTTTATTCTATCTTCAATCTCTGTGAATAATTATAATCTAAACCAAAAGAATCACATTATGCAGCTACTTCAAAACCTTTATGTTTTCTTTCATTGTAGATATCAAAGACTGGATTTTAAATAGGTGAGTGCCTATCTATATGTAGAATGAATTTTTTAATTGAAAACAATCACTTATATTCTTATAAGGTACAAAAAACATAATCTCATTCCCTCTGGAGATTTAATTAGCTGTTAATCAAGGACTCAAAAATTCCTGGGGCAATTGATGAAACTATTTGCTTCATTATTTTAGCTATACTGTACTTTATGCTAGAAAAACCCAATAATAGTTTTACTGCTCACAGTTAAAATGGTCTTAAAACGAATTACTTTACGTCAGGTGCAATTCATGTTTTGAAGAGTAATAAATACTTCCAAAATGATGGCAATTTGTTACATTTCTTTCTAAAAATTATCCCTATGTAATACATCTTTACTGATTAATTTCTGATTTTAAACCACCACAGAAATATTCTTTCTAGTGTTAGGAACCTCATTGTTGATCTTTGTGGAAGCTGTGCTGTGCTATGTTTGATGATCTGTGTAAGCAGTGGTTGACATCAGGGCAAACAAAGTGAGACAGAGAAAGTTTTTTCTGACCATTGAGTCAGTCATGTAAGCACCATCTGAGCTGGAGCAAGTATCAGATAACAGAGCCACTGCACATCTGCACACTAACCCCAGGCTGTGAGAAGAGGTATGCCAGATATTACCTGATTCATGAGTCACAAACAGTATCAGGCAGAAGTAATCTGATGCCTTGTATATTTTAACTGGTTGGAAAATTTGTCTGAGGGCATATATGCTATTCAGCTGTATGTTTGCTGTCAAGCCAAACTCCTGCTTTATGCTATATGTTGGGGAACATTTTTCCTCTAACTTCTGAGTAGGTTTGGTCAAGAGCAGATAGATATTGTTGTGTTACTGAATGGCCAAAGGAGGACAGAATACAGGGAATGTCCCCACTATGCCTGTGTCATTCTCTATGGTTTTGGCTGCACCAGAAAGGTCTGTCATGATTCTAGTTTCTACCTTGTGCTCTAGGCTCTTGGTTTTATAAACTGCCTCCTTCCTTGGTACCTCATGTCTGTGTTTTGTAGTCCCAAATGTACCAGACTAGTGCATCTTTGAACTAACCTTGATTTTTATTATGGGAACAGATTTACCACAGGTTGTATATTGCAGGATGTAGGGAAGGCATTTGCTCCCTGTCAACAGAAAATTCTGTTCAGGAATAAGGGCTTTGAAGAGGGTATTGCTATAAAGTTATAAAATAACTTGTAAAGAAGAGTACAATTTACACATATCTTATCTTCAACTTACTGTAGGTGGAAGCAGTGTGTACACAAAATGCTAAAGTGAAATAGGTTTAAGTTATGTACCATCTTGTCATATACATTGTTTTTTTGTGGTACTGGGGTGTGAACTCAGGGCCTACACCTTGAGCCACTGCATCAGCCCTTTTTGTGATTTTTTTTTTTTTTTGAGAGAGAGGTTCTCACGAATTACTTGCCTGGGATGGCTTTGAACTTCCATCCTTCTGATCTCTGCCCCTGAGTAGCTAGAATTACAGGTATGAACCACTAGCTCCTGGCCATATACATTTATAATGAAGCATCTGTGGATGCGTATTAGGGAAAAAAAGTAAAGAGAATATCAATTTTCTCTGTTTCTCAGATTGGGCCAGTTGCTTATAGTCTACCTGCCTTGTTTCTAGACCTAGGAATGGAAGCTCATGAGATAAAGGTTGTTAAAAGGTGATGGCCATTTTAAATTCTAAGCTGTGGAGTCACAAAAGCCCACAGGAAACACATTGGAATAATTTGTACAATAGTACACACCTCTCCTAGACATTAAATTCTCCCACGTAAACTATGCTCAGTGTCAGGAAATGTCAACATTTTGTACAAAGTTTGCAACACACTCACACAGCTAATTCTTAATTTTGATTTTTGATAGCACACAATCATGTTCAACATGTCTTCTACAAGTAGGATGAATAAGTCTAGATGGCATAACTTTGAACAGTTTTAAGATTCCAGAGGTTTCTTTAAAGCAGTGTTTATATATCTAGCCAAAGACTTAAACAAAAACAATATTTTTATGCAATTGTAGTTTTTGAATTTTGACCCAAAAAGCATTCACTAAGAATTTTTCCTCATATATTCTTCCTGTAGTAGTCACTCCTTAAATCCCCAGAATATTTTTCTGTATTACATAAGTTATGTTGAAATACCCTAATTTCGGTTTGAATATCTAGATGGCAAGAGATGGTAAAAATATGTTCACCAAATTAAGATTTTTTCCACACTTTGTTTCATTTTATTTCTTTTCCTTTACAGTTCTCTAGGTTCATTTGCCAAAAGACTACTTCTTGCTTTCTGCACAACCTATTTGCCTTCGTTGGCTACAGGACTCCTTGAAGTTATGCTTTCTGCCAATATTGAACATTTAGCAAATCTTCATCTGCATGTGCTGTATCTCATCTCACCATCTGGCAAAACCACTAAAGTTTTCATGCATTGATCCATCGCCACCCAACAACTTACCTGCAATATTGGTTGATTAACATCAAGAGGTGTAGCTGGGCTAATGAAGAGAACCAGCTTCCTTTTACTGACAGAAATTCCCAGAGGAACTTAAAAATTGCCACTAAACTAAAACTAATTCTCTCTGTGTTTCTTTTATTATCTTAGTTGCATTTTCTCTTCTGTTTTTGAAAGTCATTGGTCCCATTAACAGACCAGCCTATCTGTTCCAAACTGCAAAAGTTGATAACTTTATTCACATATATTTATAAATTTATAGTTAACACATTTTCAGAAGCTAAATTGTTGAAAAGTGATTATTTATTATATATGACACATCTGTTCATATGAAGAGTAATCATAGCACTTCTCTTTAGGAAATGTATCTTGTTTTTATTCATTGAAGAAAGATACTGGTATTATGGATACTTAGATTTGTTTAAACATTTTCTGGGAATTAAAATACATGATATTTATAATGTACTACTTTTATTCATTAAGATTACTGTTTTATGTATACATGCCATAAAACTAACCTGTAAATAACTCATAATAAGAAACTCTCAATTTTATTGTCACATAGGACTTATCATGTTTTCTTGATGTTTTAGAATATCATGGCCCCTCATGGTGTCTGGACCCAGCAGACAGAGGATTGTGTCATGCCAATGAAACCAGATTCTACTATAATTCGGTCATCAGGAAATGTCGCCCATTTAAGTATAGTGGATGTGGGGGAAATGAGAACAATTTTACTTCTAAAAGAGCATGTGTTAAGGCATGTAAAAAAGGTATAGATGTTTTTCTCATTAAGTCACTAGTGTTTGGAAAAGCAATTACATTGAAGTTATGAATGAAATTTAATCTATAAAATATCTTGTAATTATTTCCCTTTGTTATAAGAACTTAAGTATGATGCTTTAATTAATAAATGTGCTCTTATTAAGTAGATTTAGATAATATGGCTGGATGTGCTCATTATAATTCCTTTCAATGTGTAAACAGAAAAAACAATCAATTTAAAACCAATTCAAAATTTTATTTTTTTAAATGTCTAAATACTAAATTTATTTTTTAAAAAAATCACACCAAATTCCTTTAAGCTTTCTTGTAATATGCAAAATTTTAATGTATTGATTAATTTTTTCTGAATATAAAAATGGTGTTTATAATTGAGTAGAAAGAATATGAAATTGGTAATCCTACCAACCACAATCAGCCTCATTCTACCCTTTAAATAAAATGAGCATGGATTTCTAGCTGAATTGCTTATTCTTTTTTGCTAGCTCATATATAGGTCGCTATTTATAAATATATCTAATACATAAAATAATATTTATTAGAAATAGGTTGTTCTATAGAAAGAGAAATTAAAGGCTTTCAAAGCAATCATATCTTTTGGGTTTAATATTAGAAATATAATTTGAGAAAATTTAGATAAATATTTTATTGTGTATCCTTGTCATTCACAAATTTGTTGTTTTCCCTCTTTGTAGGTTTCATTCAAAGAATATCAAAAGAAGGACTAATTAAAACCAAAAGAAAAAGAAAGAAGCCATCAGTGAAAATAGTATATGAAGAAATTGCTAAGAATATATGAATTTGTTATATTGTTGCAAAATTAACTCTACTAAATGTTTTATATGAAGTGTTTCACTATGACTACTTTTTCCTTTGCTATAATACTTTCAATGAATATGTTCATGAAATCATTTTCTAGACTTATTGTACCAACTATTAATATATTTTCATCAGAGATCCTTTTTTAATCTGGTCAATGTATTTATTCCAGGACTATAACTTATTAACAGCTACTGTGAATTTATTCTTTCCTTTGATCTTTTTCTAATTATTTTCCTTTTAACTACAAATTATCATACTACTAGCCTCATCAAACAAGTTTATTTTTTCCATTTGGTGGTTATCTCTTTGAGAACATGTTTTTACTTCTTTGTTATGATTCCACATATGATGATATCCTTTACACCTTATTACCAGATTAAGAAATGTGTCTATTAAAGAATAAGCAACGTTTACATTTCACCCTTAAAATGGTAACAGATATCTACTTCTGATGAAGATCACTCAATAGTGCCTTTAAAAAGAACTGGTAATAATACAATTCTATCATGTGTTGCTCCCCCTTAAAAATGTTTTTTCTTTTTCTCCTTCTGTACTTACCAGTACCTCCATCAGTTCTGAACCAAACTCTCTGAACAAAGAACAATGCCTTGTGACTGTCTGATTTTGATTGGTTTGACTTTTATGTTCAACTAAGACCTATCCTATCAGTCAGGATAGTTGAATAATCATGTGTTAAATACAATCCATAAGAGGAAACTATATGGAAAAGGAAAGTTTAAATGACCATCAAAATGAATTTTTGTATGTAGTTCTAATTTTTTTGTTTGACAAAATTTTATCTCTCCAGAAAGAGCAAGAATATTGAAACCTCCTAAAACCTCCATTTATCAGGAGGTTTGGCACGCTGCAACCAGTCATTAGTGCTCAAAAAGAAAGTATTTTGTTTCTGTAAAAGGAAAATTATCAGCAGAAAGAGTCTACTTGAATATTTATGCACTATTTACTCAGAATTTTCACCTACATTTGTCTGAACTTATTTCCCTATATCCAGACCTGTATTGCTCATTTTCTACTGAGCTTTTGCAGTTTGTCAACCCAAGTCTTATGGACATGTCACCTCTGTACTGTTCTTGAATTTCACATATAATTCTGAACTTGCATCTAAAAATAATGAACTGTCAGATGTACTTGGTTTTCTTTCATGACTTCCCCATAACAATACAATTATAACTCCACATGTTCCTCAGCCTTGAAACTTTGAACTCAATTTTGATTTCTGGTTTTCTTTATATACCAGCCATGTATCAGTTTCCAAATCACCTTGATTCCATTTCCCGCCCCCAGGCTTTTTCCTCTCTATGGTGTCCTATCCCATCAGTATTTAAATGACCTCCTCAGAATTTTAGCATATTTCTTCATCACGCAAAAATCTTTCCAGAACTCTCTAGTTGGTACTTATTCCCATAACACCCATAATTTAATTTTGACATATATTTTTGCATTTACCAAATTGACTACTTCAATTTAGAATATTTGCTGTTCAGTGGATATTTATTTCATTACTCTGCTTATTCATGCTGATTTTTTAATTTAAAACCTGGTCCCTCCTCCAGGCCCAGCACTGAAGTCGGCTTTAGAAATACTGTTTCCAGATGAAAGCTAAAAAGTCCTAACATGCAATTTCAAGTCATTTTCATCTTGCAGTGTAAAAATTAACCATTACAAAATAATGTCAACTTGTTCAGTTTAAGAAAATTTTATAACATTATTTCAAATGTTCAGTACATAAATAATTATCTTAAATTGAGCCTTTGCTATGGAATTGAAAGCTTTTGGAAATCAAGATCCTTTGTGAAATATGCTCTGTTGTTATGTTCTCATGGGTAGCAGAAACATTAAATAAAAGCAAAAGTGTCCTTAGGTCAAGTGACAAGTTTACATTAGAGACATAGAAACAGCATTGGTGAGTTCACTAATCATTTTCTCCAACAATAACTATTCATTGGATCCTTACTCCCTCAAGGAAAACACACATGAGATGGCAATCAGTGTTTAGTGCATACAAGTGTTATCTTTACTGTGTTTTAAAGAAGCCCTCTAATGACACTGTCTTCTTTTATTTCACATAACCAAATGCATCTAACTGTGAATTTTATAAAGAATTACATTACATAGTACATATGTGTATCTACCTACTCTGTTTATTCTGTATTCAAAATTAACAAGTCATGAAGAAAACTATTCAAATGACTTTACTTTTTACATTGTAAAAACTTAATTGTTACACTGAAGTTTTTAGTATTTAAAAAGAATTTTGTGCTCTTTATCACAAAGATGCAGTGTCATAAATCCAAACAAATCTCCCCCAGTTACACTGTGCTTTTACTTCCTTAAAATTGGAATTTGCTAATAATCTACTTGTTTATTATAAGATATCTATATATTATGATTTCTCATTTGTCAAAGAAATTAGCACACTATCCCTTAATGATCCATATATTCTAAGTTTTCTATATTTGTATTTCCAATCATTTCATATATAACAATATAAACATAAACATGTAATTGAATAAATATATAACTGTACATTATATAAACAGCTTCCAACCCTAAGTATTATCACTGGAAAAAGGTAGAAAATCTAACAAAGAGGGATGACAGGGAGAGGAGGAGATGAGAAAGGTGGGGTGGGGAGGGGAGAAAGTATGGGAGGGGGAAAATGAGAAAGACAGAGAGAGATGGAGAACAGTATTAGGACAATTAATATGATTTCCTCATCAGTTTGTTTACAGGAGTAAAAATTTGAATCACAAACTGAAAAAAAGCTGGAGGAATTTGACTTTGGTATGGATAGATTGAATGTTTCTCATTAAGTCATAAAAACAGTCTGTGTTCATCTCTTGATTCTGCTATCCAACATTTTTTATATTGATTTTCCAATTTCACAGGGTTTCGTGGTGACTTCTGGAATTTAAAGCCCACATCCTATCAAGGTACTCTTATAGAAAAGTGTGGATTCTTGTACCTCAAAAAGTTGAATGAAAGTCTTAGCATCATGCTGATTGACCCTAATGTATTGTAGAAAGCATTGACCCAAACTCTTGATGAGTGAAGCAGGTTTATTGCTGGCCAGACTCCACCCACAAGCCTCCTCTCATATATCTGTTTGTATGATCACTTTCTGAAACTTGTGTTTTGACTGACAGGGCTGAGAATAGGGTGAGGCAAGTAAGATAATCACTTCAGACACAAAACTTAAGGAGACATTAAAAAACAGTAGCTAAGATAAATAATACTGTAATATTCTATTTAAAAACACAAAAATTATAGCAGGATTTCATTTTGAACAAAATATTAAAATTTGTACACACACAGAATCAATAACAGAATTATACTAGGAATCTAAAGCAAAAGGATAAATTAGTAATACTAATGAATTTTTAAGAAATGTAAAGATAGTACAAAGTTGATCATTGTTTAATATAATGAAAAATGTTAGCATAAAATGTAAAGGCTAAACTTTCATTCTCAATACTAAAGAAAAAAAATTTTGGTAAAATTCAACATTCAACATTTGTTTCAGGATGAAATCAGCCAGAAAATTAGAAAAGAGACTTGCTAATCTGATGATAGTTGTCTACCATAAGCACATGATAATCTTATACTTAGTTGTCAGCTCATGAACAGGAGCAAGGAGCTACCAGATATCCCTTTTATTCAACATATCTAACCAGTCTCAATTTCATAGCCAATGCAAACAGAGAAGAATTAGCCATTAAGTATAAGTATTATATTATACCATAGTTATTGTCATAATTGAAAATCCAAGAAAACTTAAGGTACAGCAATTAAAAATAATACTAGAGTTCAGTAAGATTGTTGTATATAAGTTCAACATAACAATTCAATAACATTTCTATACATTAGACTAAAAAAATGCAGCAACCACAAGAGAGAAAAAATCTAATATACCTCATTAATCCCATGAAAGATGATTTTCAAACATTCCACAAAAAAACCCTGTAGAGAAAATTCAAATATGCATTGAAGGGCATAATGTTTTTCTATATATTATAAATCTTATGATCAGAATTCACAGAGAACTATAAGGACAATGCTAGATTATGAACTAAAAATCTCATATTTCATATACAATAAACATTTTTAAATAAGGAGTACAAGTTTTTTAATCTCTAAACTATAGACAGAAAAAGCCATAGAAATGGATTATATGATAGGAAAAAAATGAGAAAATCAGACAACAAATTCAGTATCCCAGCTTTGAAATTATAGAAGTTCCTTGAAAGTAGAAGAGATAAAAGAGAGGGGAGGATAGTTAAGAAAACAAAAGGACATCAGTTCCCTTTATTGATATTGTATATTGCTCCCACCAATGGAAACTCAGCACATCCCATCCATAAACACACACACACACACACACACACACACACACACACACAATTTCAAATGCTAACAATGCAGAGAAAATTCCTGAAAAGACAGGGAAAAAAGTAGAGGAAGAATTCACATACATAGAAGAAATAAAAAGAAATTGTACATCTCGGTGACAGGAATGGAAGAAGTCACAAAATAGTTTAATGAGGATGCTAAAGTGTAAGGAACAGCTGTCAAAATCTATTGTTAGAAGCCCTTTAGTTAATCACCCTAAGCTGTAATGAGAAGCCCTTCAGTATTGTATAACCTTTCAGTTATATTTTTGTAATGCTTTGCTGAAAAATAAAATTAATCAAATTAAATAGGGAAGGTGTTGAATGTTTTTACTTTCTACCAAAGGCTTTGGGAGAAAGTTCTGGAAGAAACATTGTTTCTTATACTAATATTGAAACTAACTTGGTCGGTGAATTTGTTCTAATTTCTCTGGCCCTCCATTTACTCATAGTTAGATGGAGTGTTTCAGACTAGACTGCCTACATATAAAAGTTCTAGTTTGGGCATTTTAAGATGGTAGGAGAATGCCGTTTAAAAAGCATCTAAAATCAATATGGTAAGCCAAAA